AATATCAAGCCCTAACCAGATTAATTCCAAGAGCAATTAGAACAACGCACATTATCTGAAACTAACAGATAGCCGCTCAGAACGAACATTGACTTGTGCACATCTGTTATGTGTACTACCATGGATGCAACTAGTTTGAAAAGATAGAGCACGTTCTGTTTGGCTTGAACCTACCTGCCGAAGACTTTGGTTTGCATGACTACTTCTGAGAGGGTGAATGAACATCTAGGTGTGGACATGTCTACACGATAATCAATCACAACTTGCCTTTGTCTACCTTGGCTTGCGGGACAATTCAAGTTCGTGGTCTCACCAAATTTGCTGCAAGAATGTACTCAGTTGCCGCAGAGAGTGAGTGCGGAATATACTCATCATTTATTCGCCCTTAAGATCGAGACTGGAATCCCATACTTCCGCCAACATTCTATAGGTATATGCAATGTGGTCTGAACAACCTCTATAGTGAGCCCTCAACCCATGTTACTGGGAAGCGATCCTGGGACATATACAATTTGGTGGCGGCACACACAGGCCAAGCCCGGGTTCGCTACAGTGACGAAGCGAGACCGTTGAATATACCGTAGAACAGACCAAAGCATCCCGCGGGAGACAAGAGAATCATGTGTTAGTAGAAGCTGTGAGAGTTTACTGGTGGCCTTGGTGCAGCACTCCTCGGCAGTCTACTCGACTGACGCAATGCGAGAGGCGAGATTCTATGCATGTACTAGCACGTGAAAGTTATCAAAGACTAGTCAGTGCAAGTTCAACAAAGGGAGTATCTCGTTGATGCGAGGCAGAAAGGTCTTGGGAATAGTACTCGGGTGTAACAATCTCGAAGATCATTTAACTCCGCCAGAATTATGGAATCCGTTGCCTACAACCCGAGAACAATGAGAGTAAAGCGAAATGGTAGAGCTTTCACTAGATACTATAAGATGATATATGGCATGTTTAGGTGATATTCAAAACGCTACGAAGACAATGTAAACATTTGTTACCGCATGTCGGCCGGAGTTTAAAAGCCCTATTTCAGTTAAAAGAATTATTCTCAACTGACAGTTGAATTCGGGTCGTGAGTGGCGCTGTAAGTATTTCGTTACTACATAGCTCGAATCGCTGCTCTTTCAGCCACACTAGGGTCTTACAACAACGGGTTTGTTAAATACTAGTGGTAGAGAGCATTTACAGAATTGGTCCACGGCAATAGGCTCTACAGCACCGAGGACTTGAAACTCCGACCCTGGTAGAAAGTGGAGCGAGGAGATGATATGTCTGCGAGCTTATGACTGACCTGAAAACGGTCCAGAATAGACATAAATGAGAATCATTAGATGGAAGATGTGAGTAGGATTACTCAATAAGTCCAGGTCTATTTTCTTGATAGCGGTTTGTGTTTACGTATTGACACACTCGCGAGCCGATTGTAACATCAGATTGTTTCTGGTGGGAGTTCCACCCGATCTCACAATTTCATTAACGCTATAGTTGTCTTTTTTAGGCCACATTGCTTTGCAAGGCAGCTTACGGCTATGCTTCTGACGGCCTAGAGACCTGTTATTTTAATAGAAATAGAAGGAATCTCATTGATGGGCTGGTTGAACTTAGACACTGCTTCCCCAAACGTTCTCAGGTGAGGTGCCCGAAAGAATTTCTGGAAGATCTGATTATTCCTCGTATAGGTACATCTTGGGGGTTATCGAGAACTCTACTCTTTACAGGATTAAAGGCTTCCGGGTAATCTCAAGTTGATATAGTGTGTCAGGGATACATAATCACAGTCAGCTCAATTAGTCACAAATAGTACCTATAATAGGTATGCTTGATTTTCCGTGACTGAGCATGAAAATTTGAGAGCAACAAACTTTCGGTGCCAATATATCTATGTTTCGATTTCGATATAGAGCGCACCAACATCAACAAGATAATGTTTCGCATTATTAGATGTCCTATGTGAGAAAGGTTGTAAAACAAGCCCAACGTTTACAATAGTCGGCAGACCATGATACTATACACGCGCGCTTCTTGCGGCTAACTAAGTCGCTGATTCCGTTCTTCAAGAACGGCGCCGCGATAGTGTATCTTGAGACCACGACGTGGACGAAACGAAAGCACATGTCATTTGAGACCTGGCCAGATTTGAACAACTTGGCCTGGAAAAAGTCGCGGCAATGTTTGAGGTTTATGTCGATAAGTGGTAGAATCTAGCGTGCTCGTGGCGGCGCATTGCGGTTCGAGAAACCAACGGGCAAAAGAACTATACCCCTACCTTTACAAAACACAGAGAATAAATAACAATAGGCCCAACGACTTTTTTGTAAAGAATCTTATCAATCCGCACCTGTTACAACTGTATCTATCGACCATGCGACTCATTCAACCTCAAGCTTGTCCTCGCTTTGCCGGGAAGACCTTTCGCTAAGTGCGACTCTCCTGCACGATATCACCTATAATCAGAGCGATTACTACTGTTTGTGTTAGGAAGTTCCCGGCCAATGCTTCTCGATCTTTTGCCTACGCTTTCTGGATTTTGGATTTGCAATTATATACGTCTTGTCCAGAAGTACACATCCAACCCAAGCTTTGTTCTCCTTTTGACCAGCAAACCTTGTCAAAGCTGCCATCCTCCGCTCTATATGTCACCTCACATAGTCACCCTAGCATTCACGAGTCGTTGATGCTCTCCTCCCACGACCATCAGTCTTCCAGGGTCATGAAACCACGATGATTTGTTGTAGTCCATATCCGCGTCCATGCCCAGCGATATGGGCGGCAATCACAGCTTCAAACGAAAGCTTTGTGTATTGAGGCGCTCTTTCGTGAAGGCTCCCAAGGGATTTTGTTAGCTGAGTTGAGCGCCGTAAGAGACTTATGCTTACACTCAGCGAGGCCTTGGCAACGTGCGTCCTCTTGTGTAAGATTCTTCTTGCAATGATGAAGCGTCTGCTTGAGTAGGTCGCATGGCCCTAGGGAGTGTCTGGAGTGAGGTGGACAATTCTTGATGTGACCCTGATGCACAAGCGGTGCTATTATTATTCGTATGCCCCTTTCTCCTCACTGTATGATGGCAGGGATTACCATTGCTACATGCCTTCGACCGTCAATGAACTTCTGCCGAGAAAAGATCATGGAACGTGTTAGCCTACATCAGTGGATATTTATGATTTGTTCAGATCTCCGCTCGAGCTCCCGTGTGTTATGGCAGACAAGGCTAGACTGAGGTAGTTCTTGCGGTTGTATTACATGCATACTGCGCTGGTAAATATTCGTTATTAGTGTCAAAGCTTATGCATCGAGCGGTTCATAGGACAACTAGTCCATTTGGGATGCAAGATGGGCCAAGTATGAGCCTGGTGTATCCAAAGTGATCGTTATGCCTGTCGTCAGAACTACTAGAAACGGGAAGTCTTGGTAAAAGAAATATCCAATGGATATAAACTATATCTCACGACAGTTAAGCCAGATGATTCTTATCACTAGACTGGAAAGAAACAATGAAGAACTTCTGGGAACATCTACTAAGCCGGTAGACGCGGGGTTTGTGATGAGAGTAGTGTCCTGAACATGGGATACTTGTTAAACTGCTTCTATTCGTCAAGGTTTTGTAGCAAACCATCGTAGCAACCTATCCCGGCGACCCCTTTTTCTAAGGTTGTGTTCCGATGAAGTCTTGGCAGAAGATATCTTAACTCTATAATTCTTGAGCTTATCGTGCAATGGGATCGAGAAAAGGATGTCATTTGCAATATAGAAAAAGCTCATCATTAAAGTGCTTTGTGGACGCTTGGAATTCCCCTAAACCTCCATTGTTGTGTTTCATTATAGCGAATTTTGACTGGATTATCCAAGCTCGGGCAAAGACACCGGATCGGACTGAGCTTGAAAGAAGCGTGTTCACCTTTTATCAAAGGGACTGTCTGATCGAAGGAAAGACGACACAGCACTTCTTGAGCCTATGTTGATCTTCAACAACTGCGAGTGCACTGAGACTTTGATAATTGGGTTTCATGATTGCTCAGCCGCCGGTTTTACACAAGACCGAGGCACCTCAATGCCGACTCACTAAAGCGCAGTCGATGAAAATCGTTGCTCTCAGATCTCGGCGGTGTACTCAGCCGAGTAGTCATTGCCCAATCTATGTTCGAACTCAGCTGATCAACATATGGTTTGTAGATAGATCTCGTTAGTCGGACTTGCAAAACGGCCTTGACCACATCGCGATCATCGGCTCAACTGACAAGATTGATCTTTATGAACTGCCGTAAGCAGCCCACATACTGCCTTGCATTGAAGAACTTCATGTTTAAAAAGCATGGCTATTATTCACATCTCTATTCGATGTGACATGATTCTGTCGTGGATGGTTCTCGCCGCTTCCCACAGATTTTCTTACCTGAGCACGATACGAAAACCCAATGTTCTCTATCATCTTCATTTCGATATCTTTGTTATAGTTTAATAGCGACTCGGTATCCTGTGCTCAGCCTGTTACTTGCGCAAGAGCTAGAATTGAGGCTTCTCACAAGAACTCGTACTTGAAATTAAAGTTGGGCTCGAACATATGCTCAGACATTATCTCAGACTAGTCTTCGCAATTGACCCAAGACTTCAAGGCAAGCCATGCATTTTGGAGTGATATGAAAAGTTGTACATAATCGTGACTGACATTTCGGTGAACTCGACAATAGAGCTCATGAACGAACTTTCAGTGATTCACCTGCATTCGCCGCATCCGCAACAAGAGTTGCATTCCTACCATACAGGCTTGCATCAAAGTTTGATTCAGATAATAGTATTCATCTCTGATGGCAGTTCCGCTGCTGTGGATCTCTGTTCTATAAAAGATAGGATGGTCCTTCGTGACAGTGGCAGATGTTGCAGTTGTCATGCGATGACTGGTGGACAATGTGGTTCCTCACGTGATGAAATTGGAACAGGCTAGCGTGACAGGGAAAGGCTCCGAACCGCCCGCGTCATCCTTTCCCGCGCCTCGAACAATCATTCACGACGAAGCATTCACCCGTTATCCCACCACAGGTCCAAGCGCGCCCGTGCCCATATTTATGTCGCATTCTTCCCCACACCAGGCAATGACACGACAACCATGGCCTTCGTTCTACCGCCCCCGCCTCAACTAGAAGCCCCCGAACTGCCGCGGTCGCTTCCGATCATCTTCCGTCATCCTGGCTACGATGACACGGTCAATGTGCTCTTCATGCTCTACGCACCCGACGCCAAGGTGGACAGCGACGAGCAGAACAAAGACGCACCGCGGTGGCCAGCTCTCTACGCCCAAGTAGCGCTCGACGCCTGCGCCTTGGTGGCCGACAATCGCACGGGTGGCTGGTTGTCCCGCGTGCGCGACGCCGTTGCCGGCTCCGCTGCCCAGGTCGACCCCACCAGCATGCTGCACCAACGCGACTACTACTTCCATCTCAAGAGCAGCGACGGCAGCAGCGATCCATACCCCGTAGTCCCCAACTTCCGCGAGTGGAGCTTCCCGCATGACGCCGTGCCCGTCCATTGGCTGGCATCGACCAACAATAAAGCCCGCGTCGACAACAGCTACTCTTCCTCCAACCTCACCGTGGGCCTGAAGGTACGCGATGGCACGTGTCGCATGAGCGGGTGCCGAGAAGAGGCCCAAGTGTCTCACGTCGTGCCCGCGGCTGAGGAAGATTGGTGGAAGGGGAACTATATGGCTCAGTACGGCCTAGGCACATCGGCTGCCACGCCCCAGAACACGGCCAACGCCCTGCTCCTACGTGCCGACCTCCACCTCGCCTTCGACAAGCCTCGATTCGCCTTTGTGCCCAAGCCAGCGGGCGATAACAGCATGCGCATCGTCACCCATCTTCTCGAACCTTCGGCTGAGCTTCAACACTTGTACCATAATCGCGAGCTCCACCCATCGGCTGTTGGTGGCGAAATGCTGTTTGCGCGCTTTGCGTGGTCCATCTTTCCCCTGGTCAGCGAATTCCTCTGCCGGAACGTAGATCGACGCCTCGCCTTGCAGGCACGCCATGCCGACCTACTTGACGACCGTGGCTATGTCTCTGCCGCCAAATGCAAGACCTTCACTACTGCTGGAATTCGACAGGAAAAAGCCGATTCGAAGAAGCGTAAATCAAACCCAAACGTTGTGTCGGAGAGTGAGGACGCAGATCTCACCGAAGTGGAAGAGCAAGCTGAGCCACAAGACGGAGACGCCTTATGCTTGGCCCCGAAGCGTCGCCGGAGTGGGTCAGCAGCTTCGTTGTCTCCGTCTGGAACTCTCTCTCCCGAGTCATCACTTTCGACTGACGAACATCCTGTCCAAGTGGAGTCTACAGGTTCTACGCTGGCACAAGAGTGGCTGGACGTAGAACGCAAGCGCTCCGATCCATCTGGCTTATTTGAAAAAGAGCGCGAGTGGATTCAGGAAGTATGGAATGGCAAGAGTATGAGTGGGAATGAGGTTCTCCGGTTTCTGCAGGGTATTGGTCACGAGATAATAGATAATGAGGCGGACTGAGTAGACACTTGGGTAGAATACTAGCGCTCTAAAATACCCTTTCTATCGTCGCGTTATTATCTATCTGTTAGTGTAGATTACTAAATCTAAATGCTTGTAGAAGCTATTCTATAATTAGCTGCGAGATATCCTAAATCCTAGTCTAGAATTAAATAGAGATAATTAATTTTTTAAAAATTAAAGAACGCTTTTTAATAAATTAAAGTTGTATATTTTATAGAATTACATAAATTATTATAGTCTATAGTTATAAATAAGTAATAATTAATACTTTAACTTGTCTAATTATAAGGTAATATTGTGTAGTTTACATTATTATTTATTATAAAATTTAAGTTAAGATTTATATAATAATATATATTAATAGTATTAAGCTATAACATAAGTTTGTCTAGAGAAGCTATAACTAAGTATAAAAAGACTAATCTTCTAGAATAGACTAGGTTTTTTACTTAATTCTAAGTTACGTTTAAACTTTTAAAGTAAAGTAAGTAAATTAGTACTTTATCTTTATACTAGTAACAAATTAAATCTTATATATTATTAATACTTATATTCTTTACTTAAATACTAGAATAGTGCTTTATCTATAATAGTAAACTTAGATAAAGCTTAGACTTAGACCTAAGAAAGTTTTACTAGTAGTACTAATTTTAATCTATATTATAGTAGTTAAATTCTTACTATACTATTAGACTTAGTAATACTTCTATAAGTATAATATTATTTACTCTTACTTATTTAATATAGAAATACTATTTCTAAGTTTAGAAAGCTCTAGAAATATATATATAAAAAATAACACTTTTTACTTAATATAAGAAGTGTATAGGAAAGTAAAGAAAGAAGCTAAAGTAAGAACTTACTATACTTTAGTATAGTAAGTTCTTAATAATCTACTTTACTAGGAGTAATAATACAGTCTTTACAGTTAGTAGTAATAAGAAAAAAGAGCCTTAATAGAGAAATAGAAAGCTAGAAAAAGACTTAGTTATTAGAAAGATAATAAGTTATATTAGATATTAAGTATAGAGAAAAACTTTAATCTTAAAACTATTAAAAGTTTATTATAATATAAAAGAATACCTAAATAATATAGTTAATTATATTATAAGAAATCTTAAATACTAATTATTATAACCTAACTTTTTATTTATTCCTATTAGTTGGTATTAGTCCTTAGTAATATTAATAATAACTTATTTTAGTAATAAACCTATTCTTTAACTTACATAAGTACTTTTAATATTCCTAGATAGTAGAATAAGTCCTAGTTTAAATAGATAAATAGGTAATAGAGTTAATAACTTAGAAGCTTCTATAGTCTAGACTAGTGTAATTAAAAAAACCGTTTAAAGACCTCGTATCTATTACTATTATTACTTTATTAAGATAACCTTTTCTAGTAAGTTCTTACGTTATTTAAGTTCCTTTAGAAGAAGTATTCGTTTCTGATTTTAAATAATAAAATAAATCTAGATTACTAGAAGGTTTATTACTAATATTTTAGGTTAATATAAAGAGTTAGTCTAAGGAGTATAGCGTAATATCTAACTATTATAAATAAATATAATATTTAAATCTTTAATTAGCCTTTGTTTAGTAGATATAAAGTTTAAGCTTAAAGTATATAGTAGCTAAAACTTCTTATAGCTATATTTTAATAATTTATTCTAACCTCTATCTAAAAAGTAAATTATTAAATAACTTAGTTAAAAGTAATATATATCTTCTTTTTTAAAGAAGTTAGTTGTATAATCTTTTTTCTTTTATTTTAAATATAAATCTTAATATCTATAGAAAGTTATCTTTATACTTGTTATCAGCAAAGTAAATCTAAGGAATTACAATAAATTTTTTTTTCTAATACACTTATATTATAATAGATCTTTTAGTAGTTAATATTTTATAATTACTTCTTTACCTTATAGTCCTTATTACTCTAATAAATAGTTTTATTATAACTATAACTAAGCTTTGTATAGCTAGTTTAATATACTCTAAAGAAGCTCTATAATAAACCCTTGTACTGTTTTAAAAATTACTTTTTAGCTTAGCTTTTAATTAAAAATACTCTAAAATAATTAGTCTATTAGAGAATTAGTAAAAGTATTAAAAGCAAATCTATTCTATTACTCTAATTAAAGGTAATTTAGTTATAAAGTCTAAGTTCCTGAATTTATATTAATTTATAAAGACGTTATAAGAACAAAACTTTATTATAGAACTTTTAATCCTATAATCTTAGTTTCGACTATTAAAAAAGCTCTATATTATATGAACTAAGATTTCTATTAAATATAAAGGCAATTATAATTTTTTATACTTTAAATTTCTTTTCTGCTATATAACTCCTATTTTACAATTCTATTTTAATATCTAACACTACTATAATTATTATATAGATATATCTATTTAGTTATTTTAAGATTCTCTTAATTATATAAGTAGTAATAATTAAAGAATATTACTTAGAATCTAAGTATTATTTTAGGTTTATAGCGTATTTATGCTTGTAGTATAGGCAGATAGACGCAATACAGTAAGAATCTAATATAGTAACTTAGTATAAAAGCTAATACCTAGCCTCTTTTTACACAGTAAATATTAGTAGGAGTATATAGTAAAGGTAACAGAAAGCTAATTAGTATACTGTCTCTTAATAACTAGCTACTTAATATACTAATATAGATATATAGTTAAGAGCCTAGGTAGTAATTAAAGTTGAGTTTAGCTTTAGGTTATAAACTGTAGTTAAGTTAAAAAAACTCTTTAATTAACTAGTAATCTTAAATATATAACTAGGTACTAATAGTTTATATAGATAAGCTAGTACATAAATATCCTTTATACCTTAAGAGTTAAAATAAACCTTTATTTATCTATCTATCTATCTTATCTTATCTTTCTTTACTACTAAGATTATACCTAATTAATAATATAATTCTATTATTACAACCTAGGAGTTCCTACGCTATATCTTATAGTAAACTAATAATTAAAGAATTAACGTAAGTAATTACTAGTACTAGTATAGTACTTTAGATATCTCTAGTAAGATCTCTAAAGACCTAGTTAGGTAGTAGGAGGAAATAAAAAGTATTACTTAGTATAACAGTAATACCTTTTACCTAAAAGATAAAGATATCTTACAGCACTTTAAGGTTAATAAGAGACTTAGGGTATAGCTTTATAAAGTTAAAGTTTAGCTCTTTCTTATATAAGTTTATAAAACTAATAAGGCTTTCTTTAATATTTAGCTCTTTTAACTTAATAAGCTTGCTACTAAGTAGTGTAATAAAGCTACTCTAACTAAAAATAAAAGCTACTTTAAGTAAGCTTTTATAGATCCTAGGTACACTGCCTAGAAAAAGAGAATTATAGTAGTAATCTAAAAGGTATAATACCTTACTACAAAGCTATATAATTAATATAGAATAAGGACAAAGCTAGTTAATTTTAAAGTAGTAGTAATAGTAACAGTAACAGTAATAGTAATAGAAATAGAAAGTAGAGGGTTGCAACTAGGTTAAACTTTAGAATAAAAACTAATAAACAATTAAAATGCGTACACAAAAATACAATAATAAGATTACACATTAATCTCTGTCCTCTAGGGTAGAATCTAAGTATAAAAGCTATTATCTTACCTTAAAACCTAGTATAAGTATAAAGAAAGATAAACTTAGTAAGTTAGTACCTAGTTACTCTCACTATTTACTTTAAAGTTTTACTATAAGACTTTAAAATTCAAAATCTTTATATTTTAACTAAGCTTTAATTCTAATTTAACTTACGTTTTTGTTAGTAAGTTTAGAGCTAAAAAGATATTTTTTTTATAATTTAAACATCTATAGCTTATATAACTAGATTAATTTTAAAAGTAACTATAACTTTTTACTTTTAATTAGCTACGTTAGTTATATAGCTTTTTTAATTACTTAAGTATATTCTCTATTTACTACTAGTTTATATTAAACTTTAGCTAAAGAAGAAGTTTATTTATTCTAATACATTTAAGCAAGTATCTACAATAATAGACTAATAGGAAAAATAATTAATAACAGCTTCCTAGTATATTATAGCTTTCTTTTATTACTTTTAAAAGTTAATACTATATTTAGTTAGGCTAGAAATAAGCTTCTATACTTAAGCTCTATATAAAACTTATAAAAGATTAGATTAAATTTATCTTACTAAATACTTATAATTGCTAATACTAGAATATACTTATAACTTTTAAAGCTGTTATATATAGTTGTATAGTACGTTAAGAAATAATTAAATTGTAGATAAAGGTCTAGAGACTATATTTATATAAAAACTTAATTTTAGAAATTAATTATCTAGTAATAAAACTAATACTATACTTACTATACACTATAGAACTTAACAAAAAAGTAAATCCATATTAAATTATACTTATAGTCTATTAATATTATTATAGTAATTTATATACTAAATCTTTTTAGGTTTTACTCTCTTTGTAAGTTCTTACTCTAAGTTTTGTATCTTTATAGAGTCTAAATATCTATAATATTATATATTTAAGAAAAATAATTTTAAAGTTTTATAGAACTTTTTCTTATTTCTTATAGTTTAGTTTATTAATCTAAATCCCTATTAAGATTTAAGCTAAATTAGAAGAATATTAGTTAATAAAATTATTAAGGCAAGGTTTTTTACACTATTTAGATTAATTAACAAATAGTTTCAAGAATTTTAGGAACTATAGGAAACTTATATAATTTTTTCTCTAACATTATAAAAGATTAAGAGTTTTAAAATCCTAATTATTAAGATTTAAATTCTTAGGTTTAAAGTTTTGTATTACTTATAAAACAGAAGTTTAAAGTGTTTATTTACTTATTAAAGCTAAGTAAATACTATCTTAATATTAGGTTACCCTTACGAATCTTTACTATATTACGTCTATTCTCTATATTATAAGGTACTAAGACGTTATAAGTATAAATCAGGAAAATAGTCTCTATAAACTCTAGTAATATGCTATCTTAACTACTCAAAA